TGAACTGCTCTGAACTTTGGTCTCTAGCCACTGAGCTTAGTGTTCAGTGGTATCCGATCGAATTAACACCAAAAATCAAGCTGGTGTGTTTTGAGGAAAAATTTCACTTTGCTTATTAACTGTTAGCTAGATATGAATTTCAATACCGTTGTATCCGTCCTGCAAACGCGTTAGAAAGACCTGAGGGGTATCTTCTTAATGTACGAGTCAAGTAAATTCATGCGCGCAGAAATAATCTCATGTTGCCAATGATACAGATATCATATACTATACTGAATAGACGGTTTTGGCATTCTGCCATTTCAGTTGTGGTATACAGCAATTAAAATGTATAATAATTGTGTGCTGATTTCTCCTCAGTATCAGTGATCGTCACTCGGCTGTTCACTGACGAATTCGAAAAGCTTCGAAACCTATTTCTTTAAACATTTACGTAACATTTTATTTGCTTGAAATACAGGTGGCATTAGTAAAACGGGTGCCTCGAAAACTAAGACCTAAGATCCTCTCCAAATCTAAAAACTGACTTAAGACCCCTTCCAAATTTCGAAAACTAAGACCTAAGACCCCTTCCAAATCTCGAAAACTAAGACCTAAGACCCCCTCCAAATCTCGAAAACTATGACGTTTAAAACAAAGCGGAAGGGAAGGTGTTAAGACCCTTTGTTCAACTCAAAACAAGGAAAGGTTTCCTTATTTCAGCATTAGCATCCCTACAGCATGCTTCTCAAGTTTCCAGTGAAGTGAGGAACAAACTTACACTGTCTCACTTGAGTATTCTTGAGCAGGAGCTTGACTTTGCTGCGTGACTTTATTCTGTCTTTGTAATAGCGGAGCTCCACGCGCGGCGCTAAGCGCCGCGCGTGGGCGGACCCCAATAGCTAAGGAAATGTGGTAATCTACCCATCCGAGAAAATTTGGTAATCACGTGACCGTACACCGAGCTAGACTACGAGTAGTCCCCCATTTTTCCTGAGGGATAGTAGAGCGAGCGAAACGCGAGCGCTCGTGAAAATCATCCCACGCGAGAAAAGGCGACACGAAAAATAAAGCCAACCACTAAAAGAGCGCCCAAATATTAGCAGAATATGAAATCCATAGTGATAGTACAGGAAAAGCCGTCGGATGTTTCTGGTTTTAGTCGTTTTAACATGTAGTTCAGTTTTAGAATTCAACTAAAGAGAGAAGAAAAATGGAGCTGAAGTGAAAGCGTAGTGGCGAGAAAAAACTTCTTGTGCTCCTTCAAATTAATGTTTACTTTTTTCCCTTAAACCTGATGACTGAGGTTAAGGGAGTGTGCGCCTGTTGCGTTCCCTCTAATTTTTAGATATGGACTAAGGAAAAATAATTTTAGCCATTGTACAACCATGGATTATCTACGGATAAATATGGCGCAATAAGTGTTAGTGTTTGAGTATAAAGTTTAATTTTACACTCGAGTTTCAAATGTGCAATGGTCATTGAATGATGTCGCGTGCAGCAGTGTGTATCTTGTACCGTTGGCAGCCCCGCAAAAATGTTTTGTTACATTAATAAATAAAGTACAAATAAATTTCCCCAGCCTGTCATTAAAATGTTTTGATATTGTAACAAACAGAGTAGCAAGTCTAATCATCATGGATATATTTATTGAACAAATCTTCGAATATACAAAGCAAGAACAGTAGAACGTGTTTTATCGGCTCGTTTTTAAATATCCCTCGCGTGACATTTCCGGTTATCTCTTGTCTGTGGCAATTTAAAACCGTGGCGCTTGAAATGACACCGTTTAGAAACGTACAATATACAGGTCTCACGCAAGGGTCTCACGGGTCATTTCTGTCAATGTTTTGTTATGTGAGTAGCCTGAGTATCAGGCCTTCCTAAGGGGCTACGGGAGAGGAGAGTTTAGACGGGAGTGGGGGGAGGGGGAGAAGAGAAAGGAAGGCCTGACACAAAACCATTCAGCAAATCGTGTGAAACATCCAAAATAGTACATCAGATGGCAACAAGTTTTCCAGTTAAAACTTTGTCATAAAGTGCTACACCGTGGCACTTAGACAATTTCTTTATCGCGGGCTTGATACATTGTTTTGACGCACAATTGATAGTCAGGAGAAGTCGTATTGTCTAAAACCATAGCAAAAAACAAATTTACACACATCACAGAGGTAAGGTAAGGTAATACACGGTATTTCCCTTAGGTATATTTACATTCAAGTATAGAAATATAACCAGATAAAAACTAAAATAATAACGATATAACAATAAAAAACCTGCTTTACATTTAGGCCTTGTGTAAAGATACATATATCTAAATTAAGGTTTTTTAATTTTCCTTTAAAAAAATTATTGCCGCACCTTCAGAGACAAGCTGTTCTACAACACTCTTCCGTTATAAGAAAGGCTTCTCTTTTAAAATTCAGTGCGGGGTTGTGGAACAGCGAGCTTGTTTGTATTCATGCATTTTCTGTTAGGTTATAAGCGATTAAATCGCATGCAGCGACGAACAAAACGCGAA